GCACTAATTAGTAAATATCTAACTGGTTCACACTTTATATAAATAACATTTTCGTTAACATTAGAAATTATTTACAATTTATTTTAAAAAATGGTTCATATAGTTATATATTTTAAAAATAGTATTAACATTTGCTCTATCAAGGATCTTATACATCTCAGATTCGTTGGAACAATTGGCTATTATACTTATATCATATCTTTGACTGATCTCGTTTACTTTATCACATTCACAGAATATATGGAATTTAGACAATGATTTATTACGTCTTGGGCATATGGTTTGAGAGTAATCCAGGAACTTATCATTGAAAATAATCCCATTTTTATTTAGTATGAAGAATTTTTTGACATTAAATGCCAGGTTCGTGAACATATAATTATTATTCATTGGGTAGTTTAAAATTATTTTGTATCAGAATGGGTTTTTTCGTTTTTGTATATCTTCGCTATCTTGCACAATCGATATTTCCATTACTCTCTGAATTAATAGTTTACTTTGTTGTTCATTATTAGTCGTATGTTCCATAAAAAGTTCCATAGAGAACCCATATGTGTTTAGAATTTTTGTTATTTGAATTATCCAATTTTTATTTAAATCTTTGTTTCTTGATTTATGGTATAATATATACAGCAACTTTGCAGTTAGGTCTCCTGCATCAATAACTTTTATTAGAAATTTAATATATCTTTTTATTAAAATGGTGTTTAGTTTATATCTGTTCAATTCCAGTCTTAGAGAGCTTCCTGGAGTATTATATTCTAGTTGAAAAATTCTACATATAAATCTGTTTTGTACTTTTTTGAAATCGTTGAATTTACTTAAACTCCAAATTGGCGACGCATAACCCAACGAATTCATAATAATAGAATTGAAGAGTTGGAAATGTATTTGTAGATTCTTCATTTTAGTCTTACAAAATAGTATGATTAAATTATTTATTAAATTGTTAGCCTTATTTATTGATCTTTTATAGTGTTTATCAAATGAAAGATTAGGAGTAAATATTACTCCCAAGAATTTGACTTCATTAACTATTTTTATTTCTTCTCTTTTGATATAGAAAGACATATGTTTTTTTGGTAAATTGCTACCATTTCTAAATATCACTATCACTGATTTTTTTGGGTTAATTTTTACTTTTAGATCTTCCAAGTATTCCGATATCTGTTGTATTTTCCTGCGTAGTGCAGCTGCCGTCGGTGCAATTAAAACAATGTCATCTGCATAAGAAATCGAGTGTATCGTTTGGTTATCGATTTTAAATCCATCCTCTTCTCTTACAAAACATCTGTTTAAATCAAATAAGTAAAAATTGAAAAGATATGGTGATATAGGATCTCCCTGTAATAATCCTCTATACGTTTCAAATGGTGCCCAGCAAATATTATCTTGTTTAATAATAGTCTCATATCTTCCAAATAGCCTGCCTATTATTTTTATCAGGCAATCACATGCTTCATATTTTCTCAGTTTTTCCTGTAAGTCTATTATACTAATTGAATCATAGGCCTTTTCCAAGTCCAAAAACAGAGCAAATATTTTTTTGTCTTTTCCTAAGCAATTGTATTTGAATTAACATCGATAACACAAAAAGTGCTGTTTGCATACCTCCATTCTCCACAAAAGCATATTGCGTAGGGTTTCTATAATTAATTGCGGCAGTCCAGTAATTAAATTTATCAGCTAATATTGATGTGAATATTTTGCGAAACCAGATAGTAAAGCTATTGGTCTATAATTTGTAGGTTCTTTTCTATTACCTTGTTTATATATCATCGTGAATATAATTTCGTTCCATTTATCCGGTATAATACTCTGTTTGTAAAAATCATTAAATTGTCTAGTCAAATAGTTGGTTAACTCCAAGGGAAATATTTTTACGAGCGAGTTGGGAATCATATCCGATCCAAGTGTTGATTTTTCCTTAAGTTTTTTAATTCGTTCCTGTACTTCATCCACCTTAAATATTTCTTCCTGACTCATTGTTTGCATTATGTTGAATTCAGTTTGTGTTTGTCTGTAATTTAACAAATAATATTCTGAGAATTGACTGAAGTATTTAATCCAATTGTCATAGTCTACTCTTCTTTGTGAAGTATATCCTGATTTTGTTTTACGAAATCTATTAATTATCGACCAGAAAACTCTTTGAGTCTCTTGACTCTGTTAGTTTTTTACTAATATTGGAATAATATTTTTTCTTTTTTGCTTGGATTAAATTATTGTAAATTTTTTATTTTGTAAGTATATCATCAGATATTCTTCTGTATTATTTTTTCTAAAGATCTTTAGGCTCTTTTGTTTTTTGATCTTTTGACTATAACAGGAATTATCATACCAGTCACATTTATATACTCGCTTGAAGGTACTCAAACTTTTTTTAAATCTAAATTCTTCTAATTTCATTATAAGATTTGAATAGTTATGAATTGGCATATTTTCTTCTTCATGGTTTAACATTTCTTTAGTTATAAAGACTGCTTCTTTTAAAAATTTCTGTTTATTATAAGAAGTTATTATCAATACTTAATTTATGAAATTGCTCACTCATGTTCTTTGTCTTTTTTCTTTATAATTTCCCAACTCTAGCCGTACAGGAAAATGATCTGATATATCGTGTTCCATTACTATAAGAGATTTGCAGTAGTCTAACATCGGTTCCGAACATATAATATAATTGATGGTTGATTTCCCATTGGAGGATACGAAGGTATATTCGGCGGGAATATCCCCTTTTAATCTACCATTCAAAATTATTAATTGATTGCTTTGGACAGAATCCAAGAGGGCATTCCCTCCTATATTTATCAGTTTATCTTTGGATAATCTACTATTTCTTATATTATCAAAATTTTGCAAAAACACTGTATCAATAGTCTCTCCAATACAGCTATTAAAATCACCATCTATCAAACATAACTGGACTGTAATGGACCATCTTTCTATATGAATTTGAGCCTCTTGTAGAACAAGTTTCTTCTCTACGGATGGAGAGAGATACATTAGAATTAACCCTAAATACGATTTACACCATATTGTTTTGATATTATTATTTAATTTTATTATCGTGACTATAAAGTAATCTGATATAAAGTGATAAAGAATGTCACCTAAGCTCTTCTTGATCAATAAAAGCATTCCTTGTGCAGGATGGCCAAATCTACTTTTTCGTTGAGCATTTTTCATTATTATTCTATTATTTTGTTCTAAAAAATTTTTTTCAGTATTATTCAAATTTATCAACCATGTTTCTGTAATTCCGATTATGGAATTTGTATTTATAAGTTCTCTCACAGTGGGTTTGTGTAATTTTCCTCTAAGACCCTGGATATTCCAAAAACTCACCAACAGATCAGTATTAGCAGTATCTGACAATCTAATATCATTATTACTCTGTTTGCCTTCTTTAACAACCAAATCTTCTCCAGTATTCATATCATTGTTATCCACATCATTATCCATTTTATACATATTCTGTTCTGTATTATAATTTTTCATTGTCCTTTCTAAGATTGTTTTTTGTTTAATTCTAAAAAATGGTTCAGCTGTATGATCTGTCTAGTATTAATATCTATAGTATACATTAAATTATCCTTTATAAAATAATTGTCCCTTACTCTTATTCTATTATTATCTGAATTTCGAAACTTAATCATATTCAGTATCTGTTTTCTTCTAATTCTTGATCTTAAGCATAAGTCCAATGTTATAATTATTTTTTTCATTTCATCTACCATTTTCGGTCTCACTGACCAGAATTTTTTCAGGATTAAATTTCTAGCTTTTACCGTTTCCATCATAACTTTTATTGTTCGATTATTATTAATATTTTTTAATTGTACAAGTCCCTCAATTTCTATATTATTAAGATCTAGCTCTTCGTTAATAAATTTTTTAATCTCTTCTATGAAATCCAACGTTTTAAATGGGTAATTGAAAATAACTATATTTTTTCTAGTAGTCTCGTTTAACATTTTATCAATTTTAAATTCGAACATACCTTTTAAGTTATTATTAGATTTGACCCTTTCTTCTAATGTGTGAATCTTTTGACCAATTTTTCCCATCTCTTCTTTCACCTTAAAGTTATCTTCTTTCATAGTGTTGATTTCTGATTTTATTGTTTGAATTTCCAAATTTAAAAGAGCAAACTTTTCTTGAATTAGATTGTAAATTGATTTTAGTGTATAATTGGAATCGTCATCACGTTGTACTTCCGGCTCAATTTCTGGCTCAAAAAAATCTCTAATTGTCGAACTTCCCTTCGATTCATAAGTATCTCTCACATCTTCATCCGATAGATATTCTTCTCCCAAAATTTCCACGAATTGGTTATTTTCCTCCACATCCTTATTAATTTCCTTACGAGGTCTTCCTCGCCCCCTTTTTTGCATAGCTGCTTGGCTTGACTGAAGAGGAGAACGAGGGAAAGGTCCGGGATTTAATTTGATTCCCGCAATCAGTAATAAAGTCCTAATTACTTCCACAGTTAATAATAATTCAAGACTTTTTAACTTAATTTGATACTTGTTCTTATTGCTTAATTCTTCCATTATACACTTATTCAAACAGCTCTTCAGAAAAGTCACCAACCAATAAAATTTATATAAATTTGCCTAATTTCTGAAGATTTGTTAAATTTTTAAAAAATATTTCAATTAAAACTAACAAAGAATTTGGTCATTTGTATTATACTTAATGTTTGTGAAGCATTAATTTATGCAGAGAAGTTTTTGATCATTTTTCTTTATTTATTTAATTTTTACAATTAAAATTGTAGCTGTTATATTTGAAAATAATAATAAATCATTCAAGTTAAAAAACTTAAAAAGTATAATATAAGAAATTTAAAATTAATTACAATTTAAATTATAGTTTAAACAGTATTTTTGTGTTCTGTATTTTAGATCACCAACTATTAGAGATATGGTTGTAAGATGTGTAGCTCAAATGGTAAATTCTCAAGCTGCTAATATTAAATCTGGTTGGAAAAATATTTTTAGTGTCTTCCATCTAGCTGCATCTGATCATGACGAAGGAATTGTTGAATTAGCATTTCTAACAACTGGAAAAATAATCAGTAAGTAAAATATTTTTGAAATCAATAAATGTGATTGTCAAGAGGTGTGCAGGAAAAAAGCAAAGATGATTTTTTTAAACATAAAGTTTATAATATTTTATTTTAAAATATGTAAATCTGCTTAAAAAGATTTATTTGCTTTATTGGATTTTATTATGTTTATTAATCATTAAAGAAAATAGTAATAATAATTTTCAATAATAGTATTAATAATTTTCAAAAATTATTATTACATATAAGAAACAAATTTATATATTTATTTGTTATTTTTACATTTAAATGTTCATTTTATTTAGTTTCTAAGTAGCTGTATTGATATTTACAATTGTATTTTCAACTACACAGTTATATTCTGTCTTTAAATTGAAATATTTATATATGATTATACTGTATATTATTTGGCTTCTTTTTGTTTTATAAATAAATCATCCTGTGTAGCATTAGTCTCCAGATCCAATTTTGTTTTGATATTTATAATAGTGTCTATTTTAAGAGTTATTATTAATAATTACAGTGGACCCGCAATATAACACGCGTGTCGGGTGGGAAACAACACCTGCATTATAAGGTGAACCACGTTATACCGAGTGGCACGGTGGTGACACAATAAATTTACTCAGAACAATTTGAGCTATATACTGAAACATCCCATCAACTACATACATATTATGTATTTTAATAAAAAAACCAATTTATTTCTTAAGTGTTTTATTAAAATTCACATAACATAGTTATACATCTTAATAAGTACATACTGTATATGTATTATTTTATTTATGTACATAAGGTACGCTTGAAAATACAGTATTGTATGTAAAAACAAACACTATCTATAACTTGACTAAAATCTATGTATTCAACATCATTTCAATTACAAAAGATTACTTAAAAAAGTGAGTAATTTTTATTTGTTTGTTTTTTGATAACTTCTGTGTCATTTCCCTTTTGAAAGATGCTAATTACAACAATCTGCACTGTTAATATTTTCTTGTGATTCAGCCCATTTTATAACAGTTTCCATGGCTGTTATTGCTTCTTTGGTTGTTGGCGGTATATCAGCTATCCCATTGGCACTTTCTTCATCATCATCTATTTCTTCTTGACAATCTTCGTCACTGCAAATGGATTCAGTAATCATTTCATCAGTCATATTCTGACAAATATCTTCTCTAGCATCCACATCTAACCAATCAGTCAAAGAATTATTAGTTATTTCTGGCTCATTCAATATTTCCCAGATATGAGAAATTTCAGTCTCAGTGAAGATATTATCTGAAGCTGAATCTGAATGTGTTGTGGTTTGGTCAAGATCAACTTGATTATTAGATTCATTTAATTTTTTCCAACAGTTTCTAATTGTCTCTGATGTGATTGCCTGCCAGGCAAGTCCAATACTGTAGGACATGTCTCTGAGATCCATTTTTTTTTTATAAATATGTTGACGTCAATGTCTGATGATAATGACTTCATCATTTCTCTTCAGTAATTTGTTTTGAAAGCACTAATAATGTCTTGATCTAAGGGTTGTATAAGAGCAGTAGTATTTTTTGGAAGATACATTACTTTTATTTTACCATCATCAGACACAAGGTTATCAGCTGGTGGATGAGCTGGGCAATTATCTAAGAGAAGCAAAGTTTTTGGATCTAGACTCAATCCTCTCAGAAATTTTTGCACAGAGGGAACAAAGGAATTGTGAAACCAGTCATGAAATATGTTATAAGTCATCCAAGCATTTATGCTGTTTTTATAAACAACTGGCAGAGATTTTATATTGATTGACTTGAAACATCGTGGGCTTTGACTTTTACCTATAATGAGTGGCATCAACGTGTGATTACCAGCTTTATTTACACAAAATAAAGCTGTTATCCTTTCCTTGCTTAGTTTTAATCCTGCCTTTTGTGGGTTACTTTTTAGATCTAAGGTTTTACTTGGCAACATTCTGTAATATAATGCAGTCTCATCACAGTTAAAAACTTGTGCATCAATATATCCTTCTTTCTTAATGGAAATTGTGAACTATTTGGAAAATTCTGCNATATTTTCCAGATATGAGAAATTTCAGTCTCAGTGAAGATATTATCTGAAGCTGAATCTGAATGTGTTGTGGTTTGGTCAAGATCAACTTGATTATTAGATTCATTTAATTTTTTCCAACAGTTTCTAATTGTCTCTGATGTGATTGCCTGCCAGGCAAGTCCAATACTGTAGGACATGTCTCTGAGATCCATTTTTTTTTTATAAATATGTTGACGTCAATGTCTGATGATAATGACTTCATCATTTCTCTTCAGTAATTTGTTTTGAAAGCACTAATAATGTCTTGATCTAAGGGTTGTATAAGAGCAGTAGTATTTTTTGGAAGATACATTACTTTTATTTTACCATCATCAGACACAAGGTTATCAGCTGGTGGATGAGCTGGGCAATTATCTAAGAGAAGCAAAGTTTTTGGATCTAGACTCAATCCTCTCAGAAATTTTTGCACAGAGGGAACAAAGGAATTGTGAAACCAGTCATGAAATATGTTATAAGTCATCCAAGCATTTATGCTGTTTTTATAAACAACTGGCAGAGATTTTATATTGATTGACTTGAAACATCGTGGGCTTTGACTTTTACCTATAATGAGTGGCATCAACGTGTGATTACCAGCTTTATTTACACAAAATAAAGCTGTTATCCTTTCCTTGCTTAGTTTTAATCCTGCCTTTTGTGGGTTACTTTTTAGATCTAAGGTTTTACTTGGCAACATTCTGTAATATAATGCAGTCTCATCACAGTTAAAAACTTGTGCATCAATATATCCTTCTTTCTTAATGGAAATTGTGAACTATTTGGAAAATTCTGCAGCGCCTTCAATATTACTAGACTTTGCTTCACCAGAAATGGAAATTTGGAAGATGCCATGTCATTTTTGCCAACACTACAACCAACTGTCAGAAGTCTTAAAATCTTCTGCTTTTAAGCTTACATGAAATTTTTCAGCCTGCAACTTTAAAGCAGTTTCAAATATGGGAATACCTTCACTTCTTTTTTGCACAAACCATGCATAGAGGCAATCGTCAACATTTTGATTTTTTCCAAATCTTGTCTTTTTTTGAGTAAGCCCAGCATCTTGGTCAAGCTTATCAACAAATGATTTCAGTTTTGTCTCCTCTGCCATCCAACCCCATACAGTTTCTTCAAGTATGCCGTATTCTCTTATGTTTGCTTTCGAAACGCCACTCTTTACTTTAGCAATAATGTGGAGCTTTTCTTTCATACTGTAAGCTTTCTTTTACTCATCATGCATACAATAATTAAACACTATTTAAAATACATGCAAGAACTCAATACATACACAATTACTCAATTCGCAGTAACAATAAAATGCACTACTCACTAATATTGCACAGACCTGCATAAACGTGTTTGAGCTTATCATGTCACACGGACTTGTATAAACGTGTTTGAGCTATAATGCGCTATAACCGAGTGTGTGGTATAGCGAGCAGCACTATAAGGAAGGTCCACTGTATTTACAATTTAAATCAATATATCATTGCTTACAATGCAATACATTAGATTTCATTGTTTTGAAGAATGATGGGATAAAAACTTTTCTATTTGGTGACATATAAAGAATAACTTTTAAAAAATTATGTTATGTAATATGTATCGTTTAAAAATGTGATTCATTTAATACTACATCTTAAGTGACATAGTCAACTTTGTAGTAAAATAAATTAGATACAGGGTTCCTATGCAGCTAGAAAGTCAGGGATTTTCATTAGCATTCAGAAAAAGTCATGGAAAGTCAGGGAATTTTCTTCTTGGCTGCCTTCTTGGTATTTTGCTGACAATATGCTTGACTAAGTATAGCCATCTGCAGGCTGCAAGAAATAATATGGTGTAATAAAACTTATGAAAAGGGATCAGAATATTTTCAGGATCCAAAATTTCTCCCAGGCATACACAAAATTTCTCCAAAAATTTACCAAGTACAAAAAAATGATAAATAATTTAAATGTTGTTATTTATAATTTTTCCAGTTTATTAATTAATATTTTATAAAGTTCAGGAAATTTATTAAGGAATAAATTTAATAAATATATACTTCTGTACATGGATTATAATACAGGATTTTTTAATGAATAATAAATAATGACTTTTTACTTTTTTCAAAGCCACATAGATTTTTGGCTGTGGATTAATAACAGGATAAACTACTTAAATTTAACCTTTGATCCTATAATTCTGCAAGTGCATGATTTTTGTTTAGTTGATCAAGAGAACATACAAAGAAATTAAAGAGAATTAGAACAAATAAATAATTAAAAAGTTGGAGAAGCAATAGCATATGTATGTAGTAAGTCAAATGCTGTTTTATTTTGTCAATGTGTCATACTGTAAGGTCAGAATACTTGATGGTCAGAATTTGTACAGAGTTGGTCAGGGGCAGTCAGGGAATTTAAAACAAAAAATTTGATTAGGAACCCTGTAGATAGCTTGTTTGAAAATTGCATAGTCCTAATATTTTCTAATTATAAGTTACAAAAATTATCAGAAAAAGATTATTGTAAATAATAATGAGGATCTGTAAATATTTAAAAGTAGCTTATAAATCAATACTAAGCAATATTTAAAGTAATGGCATATAAGACACCCCCATTTTGTCATAAACTATTTAGGGAGAAATATTTATTGTATTTAAGCAGTCTCCTACATTAGGCACTCAGCTCTGAATATTTTTTTTACTGTGTTCTGGTTAAAAAAAAAACACAGTAAAATTAGAGTGCATGTTTTTATTTATCAGAAGAAAGAGGAGTTTAAAAAAAGTTATTTACATTTAAAATTTGCTGTTAAAATATTCTGTATGAGTACATGTCAAGGCTGCTTAGCTAGAGCAAATAATAATACAGGTAGCCCTCGGTTTACGCTGCAGTTCCGTTCCTACAAAAGCTGGTGCAAATCGAATCAGCATAAAATGAACCCATATTTACAGTGAGGTATAGGATTAGGTTCTACATAAGTAAAAATAAGCAAATAATTTTGTTTATTAATACAATATAATAAAAAATACATATATTATAAATTTAATTTTTTAAATGTATTTTACGATAAAATAAAATGTTTTTACAGTAGAGTGTCGTTTATCCGAATCAATTGGGGACTGAGGTTGTTCGGATAACTTATTTTTCGGTTAACCGATTATGTACGGAAAAATATATTAACCTATCCCGTGATGAAATTTTTCTCCTTTGCATGTCGCTTTGCATTGAATTTTTGTCGATGTTAAGCCTAATGTATACTTTTTAAAATAATAATTGTGGCTATTGTATCGTTAAAAATTATTTCTTTATATCTTATAAACAAAATAAATATATTGAAAAATATAAAAACCAGAATATATATACTTTAGAAGTTGATCTAGTATCAAAAACATTCGATTCAGCACGACACACAGTCCTCAAAAAAAAAAAAAAAAACACNACACAGTCCTCAAAAAAACACCACACAAAAGTGCCATGCTGCCAGCTAAAAAACACACACCAACAAAAAAAATATTGGAATAGCCCAAGATATAGCCAAAGATTGCAGTGCCACAGCACTAGCGTAAATTAAAATTTGCCAACTGGAATGCTTTTGGATAACCAACTTTCAGATAAACGACGCTCTATTGTATTAAAATCAAATCAAATCAAACTTTATTTGTAATGGGTTATTTACCTGTTACATCAGGGTGTTCCAAATAATAACACACCCATACATGATTTTAACATACTATCTCTTATTGGTTACAATACTATTGACTTCTTACCAATTTTCTTTAGTAATACCGTTTTACAATTTATTAATTTAGTTTCTACCAATTGGCATAATCACTCAGTTACAACAAATTTTTTAGCATAATTATATAAGTTATATATTGTGTTTCAATTTTTGCCACATGAAAAAATACATACATAGTATTTTCCTTTGTGATACTATTCAGTGTTTGGAGGTTATACCTGTCACTTAACTCTAGGGCCTCCTTACACATACAAAACATATGAACTTTGGAAAGAAAGTTACAGCATCTTGGGCAACAACAATTAGAAAAATCATAAATATTATTATTAATTATAATCATCACTTTGTTTAGTCTTAACTGAATGAAAAATTTTTTAATATTAAAGGGTAAATTTGAAAATATATAATGTTTATGTTTGGATATTCTAACATTATGTTGTACCATTCTGGTTTTTTCTGATTATGGAGATCTTTGATATCTTGAACCAAAAACTTCTCTAGAGCATTTTGAATCAATTGAGAACTCAGTACTTCACACAAGTCAGTTTTTTCCATGAATGGTCTTATGGAAAAGCCGTAACTGTTAAAAATTACCATTATTTGTTCTACCCAGTTTTTCCTCTGTGTATCGATATGAGCACTTTTACATAGTAGCCTCAGTAATTTTGCTTGTAGTTTTCTACAATCTCTTATCATGAAAACAAAATTCGATAATTCTTTTAATAAAAAATGGACAAATTTTAAATCTATTTACTTCCAATCTAAATGCACTTCCAGGTGTATTATATTCTAATGAAAATAAATTAAATTAAATTAAAATAAATTAATGTGAGAATTTTTCGGATAAACTTGTTTTGAATTATATCAAACTTTTCATAGATAGATAGATAGACTTTTAATTGGAGCAGCATATCCAATGGCATTCATAATTATAAGAGTTAAATAATTTGAAATGAACAGAAATATTCTTCAGTTTAATCTTGGTAAATAACTTCACCATGTTATCTATCAAAATATTGGCTTTAGCCATATTGTTTTTCAAAAGACTGTTGGTGATAACATTATATCTAGGAACTTAATCTCTTGAACTATTTTTAGTTCCACATTGTTAAGACAAAAAGTCATGTATTTCTTAGAAATTTTAGCTCTGTTTCTGAATATCATTATAGATGATTTGTTAGGATTGACTTAATTTTAATTCCTCACAATACATTTCCAAAGTGTGTATTTTCCTTCTCAAGGCTGCAGCAGTTGAATCAATGACTATTACATCATCAGCATATGATATCAAATGTATCACTTGTTCCTCAATTGTAAAACCATCATCTCTCTCAAAGCAATCGTTCAAATCAAACATATAAAAATTAAATAAATGAGGTGATCAAGGGTCTCCTTGTAGTAAGCTCCGGTCAATATCAAATGACGACCATTGGAATTTATCTTGCTTAACTATCACTTCATAGTGACCGAATAGTAGAATTATCATTCTAGTTAGATGTTCTGCCAAATTGTTGATCATCTTTTGTAAATTTGAAATTAACACTGAATTACATGCTTTTTCAATGTCTAAAAATAAGGCAAACACTTTATGTCTTTTTTTATGAAGTTGTAACTGAATAATTGGCATTAGAGTAAACAGAGCCAGTTTGGTACCCCATCTTTGAGGAATGCAAATTGAGTAGAATTTCTATAATTATTTTTATCAATCTGAAAATGTTTTTATTAAAAAATCTTAAGAAAAACAAATGACATTTCAAAGTTTTGGATCTCTTACATTTTTCAGAAAAAAGTATCCATTTTTAATTGTTTAGATTTTAGTTTTCTTTCATTAAGAATTTTGGAATATGGTCGAATGGATGCGATGATGCTTCTTTTTACATCTGCACTTTGCTCCAAATCATTGTCTAACTCACAAAGTTCATCCTTCAAACTTTCCATAGTTGAAAGGATACACTTTAGATTGGCCGTTTTCATAACTCTTGGAGTTTCTTCTTTGTTTTCTTCCTTCACTAATTCTTTGTATAATTCTTCTAAGTCTTCATTTGAGAGTGGCTGATCATGGGCTTCTAAAAGTTCTGTCACATCTTCCAATCCCACATCATGCACAAGTCTGGTAATGTCTTCAATTAAATTCTCCTGATGTGCTACTTCTTCAAAATCATGCATGAATGCTGGCAGAAGTTTATGCCAAACTCCATTTAAGCATTTTGCTGAAACTTCATCCCAAGCTGACTTGATGTTTTTAATGCCTTTCAAAATATTGAAAGACCGCCAATAGTCTTTAACTGTTTTGTCTGAAGTGTCTAAAACTCTCATCATTTCCATGAATGTATTAGAGAGATAATAAACTTGCAATAATCTCCTGATCCATTGGTTGCAAAAGAGATATTGTATTGGGAAGCATGTAATCATCTTGATATCCAATGGTGTTCTTATTTCATCAAGGTTTTGAGGATGTCCTGGAGCATTGTCCAAGGGAAGTGCCTTGGCTGGTAATTCATTTTCTTCACAAAAGCAAAGCACAGTAGGGCAAAAATAACTTGTGTACCAATCTGTGAAAACATCTTGTGTGACTCAAGCGTTTTTGTTCCATTTCTAATAAACTGTTAACATCTCTTTATTTAGATCCTTTAAAGCACATGATGTCTGTGAATGATACACTAACATTGGTTTAAGTTGCAAAGTTCCTGAAACATTGGCTCCCAACAAAAGAATTAATCTATCTTTCACAACTTTAAAACCTGGAGTGGGATGTTCTTCACAAGAAATAAATGTTTGTGCTGATAACTTTTTCCAATAAAGCCCAGTTTCATCAACGCTAAAGATTAGGTCTGGAGAATAGTTGCCTTGTTCTAAATAACTCTGAAATTCCTTAGGAAAAGCAGCTACCGCCACAACATCTGCACTTGCTGCCTCACCACATAATTTTACACTATGACAGTTACTTCTGGATTTAAATCTTATAAACCAACCCTTGCTTCCCAAAAAAGTTTCTTTGCCTCCATCTGTCTCCTTAAGATTATTAAAACTTGATTTTGCTTTTTCAGTTATAGCAGCTTGAGTCAAGGAAATGTTTTTTTGATTTGCATCATCCACCTATAACGATAACAATTTTTCCATTTTTTTCAAAAATTTTATCTCTACTATAACTCACATGTTTTACATTTACTGTTGAGCAGTATGACTGTTGAGCAGTATGTTTAATTTTATCTGCATTTTTCATAATGGTAGTAACAGTCAATGGAGGTAAGTTTAAAGATCTACAGACATTAGGGCGTGTTTGTCCATTTTCCATTCATCAAATAACTTTTATTTTTGTTTCTAGGGAGATAGATTGCAATGCCTTCTTAATATGTTTAGATAATTCTGGTGCACTTCTTTTATCTGACATAATAACCCTCTTTTATTCTTGTATACCTAAACATACGTGGGTATCTAAACATTTAGTATTTTAATATTAATTTAATGTAAATGTATACATACCTAACAATATTAAACAGAAAAAAATAAATATATTCAATAAAAATCTTTGTTTTAATTAATATACAACGTTGCAGCTCAGTAAATACATCAACATCGAAACAAAAATCTGTCTAGCAAAGTGAGAATTAGGGAATTACATGGCGAAATGGCAAATTGTGCAGCAGCATTATTGTAAATCGGCGTAAATTGAACCGGCATAAACCAAGGGCTACCTATTACATGTTTAACTAAACAATAACATTTTTATTCAAGAGTTAGACTAGGTAGATGCTACTTGCAGTCTACTGAAAGCTGTTTGGGAATTTGCCTACAGGAGATTGCAACTTCACAAAAGTTCTCTCTCATATGCTGTAAAATACAGTAATTACTTTAAATGAAACTAAAAATTTATTAAAATATTAATTTATATGAAATTCTATTTTATTTTACAGTTGAAATATATGAGAGTTATTTTCCTGCTCTTATTGATTCATTTCAAGACTCTGTTAAATGTTTATCTGAGTTTGCTTGCAATGCTAGTTTTCCTGATACTAGTATGGAAGCTATCAGATTAATTAGACACTGTGCTAAATATGCTGCAGAACAACCACAGGTAAACAATTTTCAAAGACATAATTTTTTTTCTTAAAATTTATTGTAATAATGTCGGTTATCTTTCATTAAAAATAAATATTTGTTTTGTTATTTTTTAAATATGTAAATCTATTAAAAAAGATTAGGAAAAATTCTATCTTTTTCTATATACCAAAGTTGGGTATTTATTAAAATTATATTAAAAAATATATAAATTTTGATAAAAATTCATAGGTGAATTTTAAAATGACAATAAACTGATTTTGAAAGACTTTAAAGCCATTACTTTTTTATAAAATTAATACGAAAAGTAATGGTTTTATTTTAATTAATGGTAAAGTAATGGTTTTATTTTAATTAATGGTAAAGTAATGGTTTTATTTTATATCAAATTAATTTTTATTGAAGTTTTATCAAAATTTATATATTTTTAATATAATTTGTTTCATAAATTATAGTCTGTTGCTGAGGATAGATTTATGTTTGTTTTGATTACTTATTATATCCTAACAAAACAGTGTTTTCAGCCAAGTGAATTGTTTTATTTATGTTTATCAATACATAACAGATGACATCATTTTCAATATTTTAAGTTTTTTTTATTATGAAAAATGACAAATGTTACTATCATATATAATATTATTTATGTTTGCATTCTAAATGAATATAAATTATGTGAAATAAATAAAGTGTTTGTGAAAATTAAATTCTTTATTTTAAAAAATTAAAAATGATGATAAACAAGCTGGAGAAAATAATCTATTACATTTTATCCTTTGAAGTTATAATAATGTAATTATGATAGTATATAATATTATTTAAAGAATAAAATACAAGAAAAAAATTATTATATGAAGTAATTAGATATCAAGAAAATTCTGATGTTGCTTTATTTTATTATATCTAATTTTATTTTATTATTTTATATCTAAAAAAGTTAATATTAATTTATTTAAAATATATTTGTGAAACAGTATTTAACATTAAAAAACAATATTTGTGCCACAAGTAACAACAGGATGTGACAGTGACTAAGAAGGGGTTAAATGTTACTTCTCAGTCACTGTCACATCCTATTTGTCCATGTGCAATGATTATTTTTGTGGCATTAACATATGGCATACATTTGGTATGTAAAATGTTTTTATTTTAATGTCTGATGTATTCATTGTTGTATGTTTATTTCACTATTTCTTCAATAGATTGCAGTAAGTTAAAGAAATTATTTAGCCCTTTTTGGTGGTATAATAGTCTCATTTTTGGAATCTGAAAGCATCTTTGTAACTTGTTTCGTATAATTTTTTTCAAACAAGTTAAGAGTTTTCAAGAAGGTATAATTTTATAAATTTTTGATGGATATCGATGATATTGATAGTTTCAACAATTCCGCAGAAAGTGAATTTTACTTATCTGAATCAGGCATTGAATCAGGTGAAGAATTATCTACTGATATTAGTGGCAGCAAATTGTCAGAATCATGTGATGACTGTGATATTGATGCTGCTAGTTGATGGGTTCAAGAAAAAACAGTAAGTAATGCTTTTCCTTCCTTTAGCTTCGCCAAAACTCCTGGAATTCTTGTTACTTTTAGTACAGATGATATACTTCAATATTTTTGATGATTCTATGGTAGAAATGATTGCGAAGAAAACTAATAAATATGCATAGCAGTGCATTTGTTCTGAGACTGCTAAAATTAAAGAAGTAACAAATAGTATCCAACAAAATCTAGTGAAATCAGATTTTTTTTTATCCATTCAGATTTTGCAAGAAATAGTTAAAAAACCAATTGAAGAATGGTACAGGTCAAGAAATCAAGTCATGATCATTCTATTTTTTTAACAAATTTTGTCATATAGAAGGTATCATATTCTGAAAAGATTTTTGCATTTTTCTGATGATGATATTTTTGATGTATATATCCATCCTAATTTAAACTCAATAAAACATAGCTTGTTTTCTCAAGACTAAATGAACTTAGTCAATCAGCAATAACTTTTTATATAAAGATGTGATAATTGATGAGAGCCTCCTTTCATGTGAAGGAGCAAGCTAGATTTTTGACATAAAACTATTCACATTATGCAAGTCCAAAAGTGGTTATGTCTTGTCATCAACCATTTATATTGGAAGAGAAACACCGTTTGATTCAAATTTTAAGAATTTTCTGATAGGTTTGCAAATTGTTCTTACCTTGATGAAATCATTATTAGGAAAAGGTTGTCTTACAACAGACAATTACTATTCTTCTTCAACATTGTCATATTCTGCAAATTACAAAACTGATAGGGAACAATAAATCTAAATTGAAAAGATACACTTAAAGAGAATAAACTAAAGAAAGGGAGTGATAGTGGAAAAAAGGAAAAGTTTTCCTTTAGAAGAGGAAAAGCTCTAAAATACAAGAAAAGAAATTATTATATGAAGTAATTAGATATCAAGAAAATTCTGATGTTGCTTTATTTTATTGCTGTGATATCTAAAAAAATTAATGTTAATTTATTTAAAATGTATTTGTGAAACAGTATTTAACATTAAAAAACAATATTCATGGCACAAGCTAACAATGGAATGTGACAGTGACTGAGAAGGGGTTAATCAATCATCTAATCTGGTATAATAAATTTTAAAAAATATATAAATTATTATAATTTTGATGTTTTTTTAAAAACTTGTTTTTTCCTTTGGGTACTAAGAGGGTCTTTTTTTAGCAAGCCAATTATGGGTTCATCCAGGTACACAATGGGGCAGTTGGGTGATGAGGGATATGACCCAACAACGACCACCCCTGAAAAATTCCTGGGGGTTTTCAATCCATCTGGATTTGATCCTGACTCTCTTAGAGCAGGAGGTAGCCACCCTAACCACTCAGCTGTCCAGCCATTTAATCATGATGCTGATAATATTAAAATTAAGTTGAAAAATTTGGATTCAACTGAAGTTAGTTGTTAATAAGCAAAAGTTTTCTGTGTAATCTTTAGTTATTAAATTTTTTATTATGGTAAATAATAATTTTAAGTTTTGGTATTTTAAAAATATATAAAATAATTGTCTAATTATTAAGGAATGTTATGTTTTAATATATTACATAGATGTTTAGAGAACATAATATAGAGGATCAAACTGTACCTGAAGAAGATCGGGTTTGGGTTCGAGGATGGTTTCCTATTTTATTTGAACTGTCTTGTATTGTAAATAGATGTAAATTGGATGTTCGAACAAGGTTTGTTGATTTTATAATTCTATTTCCATATGATAAAGGCAAAGTCAATTAATAATTTTATTATGGAGTAAAGTGTGAATTTTGATATTTTTATTATCCATTTAATGAATTAGAAGTTTATTATCTCAAAATAATGTTTGGGGATATATAAGAAAATGATGTTTTCTTTAATATATTAATATTAAGATTCATTCACAATGTTAGCTGACCTGATTTTAATGAAAACTAAAACTTTTTTATAACCTTCTTTTAGAAAGTTTATAAAAAAAAAAAATTATCAACTCTCCTCATACTCTCTTCATTTAAATATTTATGTAATAACCTTTTATGCACATATTTTCTTTGGTAGCCTGCCTCTTGTCAAATTTCTTAGTAATTATTTAGCCTTATAGCCTAATAAAGAATCTGGCTGTTTGTTTGGTATTTCTTTTTTTCATTTGGAGTTTTTGATAATAAGTTTTTATATATAAATTTAATCTAATATTTTTGTTTACTGATTGTGTATATATAATTTCTGTTTTAAGTTAATATTTTTAAATGTTTTGTTCTTCAGGGAAGTTAAAAAATAGTAATGCTTTAGTTTATTTAGTTCAGTTTGGTTAATAATAATATAAATTATCAGTTTCTGATCAAAATTTGTTATTTTTGAATTCAAATATAAATCATTTGAGGCTTGCATTTGTTGTTGTGTGTTTAATCCTGGCCACAAATGATGACCAGGATATACGCTAATAAATACTGTGATTGAACCTCCTAAAATATGTAATTTATATTATTGTTAACTGTTAAAATTATTGTTTTTAGATGCTGTGTTAATAAAAATATACATTGTCATATATTTTCAAAAACTTTCTCTTCTTTATTAATTAAATAATTTGGAATTGCCATATTTATAATTATCTAATAATGTAACTAAAAACTACTGTAACTGTAATCAGAAAAATTCAAATTTATTTTATATATATAAATTAAAATTTAAAAGAAAGAAAATAATTTTCCTTAATTGTAGTTTGCATATAAAATAAACTAGATTTTTATTTTAATGTTACATGATGAAATCTTTATTTTATTGTGATAATATACTGTAAAACAGTGGAACAGTTGTTGTCATATTGTTCTTACACAATTATATTTATAATTATATATTGTATTTTGAAATGTATAATTAAATTGAAAACTTTTTGTTTATTTAGATTATATAGTTAAATTATACTTACAAAAAATAAGAATTATTATTGTATATTAATATTTTATTTTCATTGTGTTTCATTTTTAATTATGATCTGATCAAAATTTTTTTTCTCTATTTTTATTAGAGCTTTGACAGTTATGTTTGAAATTGTGAAGACATATGGAATCCAATTTAGACCTCATTGGTGGCAAGATTTATTTCAAATTGTTTTTCGTATTTTTGATAATATGAAATTACCAGAACAACAAACAGAGGTTAGACAATATTTTTCTTTTAAATATCATATTGTTAATAATAACAAAAGATAAATTTATTCATATCAATAATTAATTTAAATGATATATATCTAAATGCNATAGACAGCATTCAACATGGTAACAGAAAAGCAAAGTGTAAAAAAAATCAAAACAAATTATTTTGAATAAAATCTTTACTGGATATTTCATTTCAAAATTAAAATAAAACATATAACTGAACTGAACCATGAAAAAAATCATGGTTGAAGTCATATTTCTAAAAAATATGAAACAAGCAAATTATTTCCCAGAAACTCTGATTATATATACATATATGTATTTTGCAATATGAGTTAATTACAAAATAATAATATTTATATATAGCAATATAGTAACATTATTTATATTTAAAATTAAAAGTATAAATCAATGTAATGATAAAATTTTACCTGATTTTGTATTTAAGATACTACAACTTTTTTCAAACACAAACACACCAGAAAGAATAGGATTACAAAAATTGTTGTACTTTAATTGAATTAAATATCTATATACATTTTTTGTATTAAAATATATGCAAGAAAACCACCATTAATACCAAGAATAACAAAAAATAAGAACTGTTTTCAAAAATTAATATTGAATGCACAGTCAATCATTACATTTATTCAATATCAATTAATATCTTATTCAGTTTAATTATTTTAAAAATTATAAAATTCAATGTACAGTCAATTACAATAAAACCTAAGATTAATTGTACAAAATATAATTAAGATAATTAAATTTAATATGAAACTAACTTTTTGAAAGTAATTTTTATTCATTAATACTTTCATTTTTTTCATTAATAGATTATGATTAATAAAACTGATAAGCTTCATTTATCATAAACTTTAAAATATTTACACATTTTTTATAATTCATTTTTTTATAAAACCTAAAAAATGTATTTTTAAATAATTTTAATGCTTATTAAATATAATTACATATAAATAATAAAATGATCATGTCATCTAAAATTTGTATAGATGTTTAATGTTTTCAATAGTTAAATAACAAAATGTAAATTGCTTAACAAGTAACTTGTTTTGTTAAATATATTAATAAAATATGTTGCTTATGTAGTATTGGCATAAGTATCTATTATTTCATAATAAATTATTCTTAAAAGTCTTTATAACTTAAAACTTCATAATGTTTATAAATATAATAAATATTTATATATATTTCACATTTGCTTCTCTTATATCATATTCATTTTTCTTTTGTATCAGTTGCTTTCGTATCAGTGAATAATCTAATCAATATTTTCATTTATTTAAGTTTATTTCTTTAGAATAATTGCTCAATAAGTAAACAGATGTTTTGTAGTATTTTCATGTTATTTGGGGAACATAATAGATAGAGTCATCAGGATTCATCATAATAAGGTACAATTTCAAACAAGAAATAATGAATGAACTTCTTTCCTATTTACAACATTTCAATTTATGAGAGATTTCCACAAATGAAGTATGCCTGTATATTGAAGTTATACGGTACTACATTTGGCAATGTTTTCAATTATCAATTGGATCATCTTTCCATTAATTATTTCAAATTTTAAATAATGAATTAATTTCTTTGTAACATGCTTCTAGATTTGATTAAATTCAAAAACCTTATATTTTGAATAAGTCAGAATTTATTTTCTAGATTAAATGTTTTTCACAGTTGTTTTCTTCCATCTTTAGATTCAAATACAAAAATTAAATACAGAATTTAACAAAGAATTATTTTCAAATCTTTACAAATAAAGTTTCATAAATTATGTATCTTAAATTTAATGTCTTAGAGATGATATTTTCTCTAAAACTAAATAAAGATTTTTGCCTATAGTCAAATCTATATAATAAAATAAATGTTAGAAATAATAATGCTAACATAAAAGGAGTCTTATTTGAATTATAAATGTTTCCCTAAAACTCTTATTTGATTCAAATGCATAATCCAAATCAAGCAAGATTTGATTCCTTTTAAAATCTATCTCAAGGATATTTCAACACAACAGTCTCTTCTTAAAAAATTTTTGCTTTTTCTAGCAGAGAGAACAATTCCTTTTAAGAAAATGCTTCTATTTGATTCTTCTCTTATTTCAAAAGCCTAATTATTTTTTAACAATTATATAAAAATAATTTCATATATAATATATGACTTTCTTTCACTCATTTTCATAATGTGTGTATATATTATATATACATAGAATGCAACTTGATTTAGGTTAACATTCATTCAGTTGTTAATTCCAGAAGAGAATTATTTAATACTGTGGTATCATGTCAATAATCCTCTTAAAAAGATATGAGTGAAAGAAAGATATATGATCTTTCTTTCACTCATATCTTTTTAAGAGGATTATTGACATGATACCACAGTATTAAATAATTCTCTTCTGGAATTAACAACTGAATGAATGTTAACCTAAATCAAGTTGCATTCTATGTATATATAATATATACACACATTATGAAAATGAGTGAAAGAAAGTCATATATTATATATGAAATTATTTTTATATAATTATTAAAAAATAATTAGGCTTTTGAAATAAGAGAAGAATCAAATAGAAGCATTTTCTTAAAAGGAATTGTTCTCTCTGCTAGAAAAAGCAAAAATTTTTTAAGAAGAGACTGTTGTGTTGAAATATCCTTGAGATAGATTTTAAAAGGAATCAAATCTTGCTTGATTTGGATTATGCATTTGAATCAAATAAGAGTTTTAGGGAAACATTTATAATTCAAATAAGACTCCTTTTATGTTAGCATTATTATTTCTAACATTTATTTTATTATATAGATTTGACTATAGGCAAAAATCTTTATTTAGTTTTAGAGAAAATATCATCTCTAAGACATTAAATTTAAGATACATAATTTATGAAACTTTATTTGTAAAGATTTGAAAATAATTCTTTGTTAAATTCTGTATTTAATTTTTGTATTTGAATCTAAAGATGGAAGAAAACAACTGTGAAAAACATTTAATCTAGAAAATAAATTCTGACTTATTCAAAATATAAGGTTTTTGAATTTAATCAAATCTAGAAGCATGTTACAAAGAAATTAATTCATTATTTAAAATTTGAAATAATTAATGGAAAGATGATCCAATTGATAATTGAAAACATTGCCAAATGTAGTACCGTATAACTTCAATATACAGGCATACTTCATTTGTGGAAATCTCTCATAAATTGAAATGTTGTAAATAGGAAAGAAGTTCATTCATTATTTCTTGTTTGAAATTGTACCTTATTATGATGAATCCTGATGACTCTATCTATTATGTTCCCCAAATAACATGAAAATACTACAAAACATCTGTTTACTTATTGAGCAATTATTCTAAAGAAATAAACTTAAATAAATGAAAATATTGATTAGATTATTCACTGATACGAAAGCAACTGATACAAAAGAAAAATGAATATGATATAAGAGAAGCAAATGTGAAATATATATAAATATTTATTATATTTATAAACATTATGAAGTTTTAAGTTATAAAGACTTTTAAGAATAATTTATTATGAAATAATAGATACTTATGCCAATACTACATAAGCAACATATTTTATTAATATATTTAACAAAACAAGTTACTTGTTAAGCAATTTACATTTTGTTATTTAACTATTGAAAACATTAAACATCTATACAAATTTTAGATGACATGATCATTTTATTATTTATATGTAATTATATTTAATAAGCATTAAAATTATTTAAAAATACATTTTTTAGGTTTTATAAAAAAATGAATTATAAAAAATGTGTAAATATTTTAAAGTTTATGATAAATGAAGCTTATCAGTTTTATTAATCATAATCTATTAATGAAAAAAATGAAAGTATTAATGAATAAAAATTACTTTCAAAAAGTTAGTTTCATATTAAATTTAATTATCTTAATTATATTTTGTACAATTAATCTTAGGTTTTATTGTAATTGACTGTACATTGAATTTTATAATTTTTAAAATAATTAAACTGAATAAGATATTAATTGATATTGAATAAATGTAATGATTGACTGTGCATTCAATATTAATTTTTGAAAACAGTTCTTATTTTTTGTTATTCTTGGTATTAATGGTGGTTTTCTTGCATATATTTTAATACAAAAAATGTATATAGATATTTAATTCAATTAAAGTACAACAATTTTTGTAATCCTATTCTTTCTGGTGTGTTTGTNAATCAGAAGCGTTCGGAATCTTAGGTTTTATTGTAATTGACTGTACATTGAATTTTATAATTTTTAAAATAATTAAACTGAATAAGATATTAATTGATATTGAATAAATGTAATGATTGACTGTGCATTCAATATTAATTTTTGAAAACAGTTCTTATTTTTTGTTATTCTTGGTATTAATGGTGGTTTTCTTGCATATATTTTAATACAAAAAATGTATATAGATATTTAATTCAATTAAAGTACAACAATTTTTGTAATCCTATTCTTTCTGGTGTGTTTGTGTTTGAAAAAAGTTGTAGTATCTTAAATACAAAATCAGGTAAAATTTTATCATTACATTGATTTATACTTTTAATTTTAAATATAAATAATGTTACTATATTGCTATATATAAATATTATTATTTTGTAATTAACTCATATTGCAAAATACATATATGTATATATAATCAGAGTTTCTGGGAAATAATTTGCTTGTTTCATATTTTTTAGAAATATGACTTCAACCATGATTTTTTTCATGGTTCAGTTCAGTTATATGTTTTATTTTAATTTTGAAATGAAATATCCAGTAAAGATTTTATTCAAAATAATTTGTTTTGATTTTTTTTACACTTTGCTTTTCTGTTACCATGTTGAATGCTGTCTATGGTTGATGTTCTGCTGTAAAGAGCAAACCAATGGATCGACTAGCAGAGGTTGGTGATTGACCACAAATATTTTAAAAAACATATGTCTGATGCATGTCTTTTAACTGCATGCAATATTATTATTGTC